TGTTTTAAAAAGTTAAAACAGTCACATGCAATCACGATTTGGCAGAATATGATGGTGTTATAACAGTAAGGGTACAGTTAGTCAATTGTTAGAAAACTTAAGGGTACCCATAGGGAATATGCAAATAGTAGGGGTATACTTAGTCAATTTTGCAAAACTCAAGTGTAAGCAATTTCCAATTCAACTGAGCTTTGCGATGCCAATAAATAAATAATCTCACAGGTAAGCATTTATCTATCAGAATACATCTTTTCACATGAACAATTAATTATACAATGTTTTATTAAAAGTAATATCTTCTTCAACAAAAAAAAAAAAAAAAAACTACTCATCTAACCTGAATAGCCAAGTAAGAAGAAAGGAACTTTCAAAAAGTATATAGTATACAAAGAAGTTTTAACCGTAAATATCATCTGAACCTTCATCAATCTATAAGTTACATTCATGTTTTTTAGACAACAAAATTAATGACATCACAAGGCAATGCTACTTATACGTTATCACATAAAACTCTTTTTAAGTTTTAAAATTTATTCCCAATTGGTTACCCACCACCATGAATTAACACATTTCAAATGTTTATATAGAATTAGACCTATTCATGGGCCAGGTTGGGTCGGGTTTTGTCTTTTTATTAATGGCTTCAGGCTCGAGCCTGAGCTCAGGCTAGCCATTGGGCCTAGGTTTTGAGCCCGAGACCGACCAAAAATTTGAAAAAAAAAGATTTTTTTCTTTTTTATTCAATAAAAAACTATTAGATTTATATTAAAGACCTCAAAACTCAAAAATAATGAAATATCCGTGAGCAAAGAGCAAAGGAACAAAGAGAAAAACATGTATATATTTTTGTTTATATAATATTTTTTTAGTTGGGCTTAGGCTTGGGCAGAGCTTATTTGAGAGAGTTTAAGTCTAGCCTAAAAAAAGTTGGGCCTAGTGTTTTGGGCCCAAGGCCATAGGATAAATTCATGTCCAAGCTTGACTTACAACGGGTTGGGCCCAACCTAGCCCATCGGGCTACTTGACCCATGAACAAGTCTATATAGAATGGACAAAGAACTAGAATATGTCTTCAACTCACTTTGATACAAGTTGGACTATAAAGGCATTTATCTTATATAAAGGGATAATTATTAGTTACAACAATCATAGAGAAGCTAAAAAAAAATTCAAAGCTATACTACTTAATGAATAAGTATGAT